AACACCAATTTAGTCACTCTATTTTCATATAAATGTCGCTTGATACAAATACGATAGATATTAGTACTAAATTATTTTTTATAATAATATATGGCATACTTTAGATTTTCTATGACAAATATATTTGTCGTAGAAAATCTCGTTTATAAACTTTTTGCAAATTATTAAAATTCGTAAGTGTATTAGACTAATTACTAATACTATTAGTAATAAAATAAATATAAAACTATTCCTAAAAAACACGTGTTTATTTACAAATCAGTACCTATGTATATAACATTTTTATAGCACTAAATGGTCACGTAAATTCTCAAAAACCATTTGTTGTTTAGCATTTTATCTTCAATTCGGGTAAAAGTATCGTTTCTTTTTTATAGTAATTTTCTGCCTTTTTGCCATGTTCACAGGCCATAATTCTTATAGTGACCTTCCTCTAACGGCGGCATTGTTTGGCCGGTTCGGGGTAGGGATTATAGGAAGACCCTTTATGGAGCAGGGTGGTGGTAAGTGGTTCTCACAGTCTTTTCTTGGGTCTGCCACCTGACCGTTACAAGTTTACAAGTTTTTGGAAAGTTTGTTTTTAAGTTGAAGTTTTATTCTTTGCGCATAAATTTTGTGGAACTGGTTTAAATTATGTAAAGAAGGTGAGAAAACACAATAATTTTCGTGGTTTTACTTGATAATTTTATTAAAATTAATGTGTAGATATTTTTGTAATTCGTGATAATTTTTATTTAATTTATTTCAATGTGTTTTGAAAAATTATTATATATATTATATATTATAAGTAAGGTAAAACTTAAAAGCATATTTAATTGATTTTAAAGTTAAAATCAATCAATTGAAAGTTGTAATAGTAATTTAGTTCAGATTCATATTTTTCCTGTGTATTTATAAATTATAATTCTAATTTAAATTATCTCCTTATATACCTACAGTGTAGGTCCTACACGTATATACAGTGTATATTATACACTGTGCAACATTTTCTACAATCAAAATCATGAATGTTTAGATTGATTCTGTTTTTTTTTAATATCAATTTACTCTCTAAAAGTGAATTAGTCAAAAGTTACTAACTTAATAGTAATTAGTGGCTGCTTTTTCACTTGTACCATGGTTAACCATAGAAAATACCATGGTATCCCAAAATTTAACAGCCAATTCTTATGTAAAATTGTCCCCCTAATCCGAAAATATCGTCAAAAGTTAAAAAAGTAGAACAGTTTTTGAGATATAGTCAATTTTTCATTTAATATGGAATTGACTATATTTCAAAAACTGCTCCACTTTCATAATTTTTTTACGGCATTTTCGGATACAGGGGACAATTTTACATAAAAATTGGATGTTAAATTTTGGCATACCATTATATTCCATGGTTAACTATGGTACAAGTGAAAAAGCAGCCACTTATAACTATTAAATTAGTAATTTTTGACTAATTCATTTTTAGAGAGTAAAGTTTTCGTAATTCTTTGGATAGGAGAAACGAAAACCACTTTCAGAACCCCATCGTTTTTTTGTTTTGGTTTAAATTAATAAATAACGGTTTTTCGGGTTCCAAAATTAATAAAACCTGAATCAACCTAAACATTCTGTAAACGCAAAAAGGCATTCTTTGGATAGGAGAAACGAAAACCACTTTCAGAACCCCATAATTTTTTTTGCTGTTGCACTGTGTATAAGTAAGTACTTGGCAGGTTTATGCTGTTTTTTATAATCACGAAAACATTGATTGATAGGGGCATTGACTGTAGTTATGTCTATAAATTTTGAAGTCTCAATGATGTAGAGTTTTATTGTAAAAAATATACAGGGTGGCCTAAAAGTTTGGAATATTGAGTGTAACTTTTGAAATATCAAAAAATTAAAAAAAAAGATTTTAATAAAAGTTGTTTAATAGCTTATTTCAAATTTCAACTTAAAAAACTAAATACGTAGCACCCCAACGGGGAGAACTTTTTTTTAATACTAACCACCCCCTTTTTGACAACAGAATTTAAAAGAGGGTTTTTTCTAAATACACAGTATATTAATATACTATTAATTTGCTTGCGTGCTGACATAACTGAGGAAAATCGTAATCGTCAAAGCTTTTTGCGCTTTTTACTTTCGTTCGTGGCCGTTGGTTTAGCATGGCAATGCCTTGAAAAATGACAAGTTAGCTGTAAATGGAAATTAATGTCTCCTTGGGTGGTCAGATTTACCTATTTATTACTTAGTTTTAATGACGTGACCACTAGCAGCCCCATTTGTTAAAATATCAACAACAAAAAATATTTAAGTATATTTTAATACACTTGATTTATCGCTTATTTTAAATTATAATACAAAAATACAATTTAGTATTAAAATTAAATTATCTTAATAGAAACTACTTATGTAAATAAAAAAAATGTATTTGCCCTGATATCCATAATTTTTATAAATCATAAAATTTACCATTACACAATAAAATCCTTTTCTAAATACTTTCTTACTTGCTAAATTTTAATATAATTCTCACTTATATTTGCATTTTTTAATTATAATTAATAATTCATGTATTATAAAATATAAAATATATACATACATTATAATGTATAAAAAATAATGTATTATAAATAAAGAAAGCATGCGTGAAAATATTGCATTGTAAAATATTCAGGGTTATTTTTTTTAATTAATAGTTATTTACCTATTGTACGTGTGAATTAAGGAGCAAATAAAATACATTTTTTTAGAAGAAGAATTTAAAAATTTCTACAAAATTTTATATTTAAAAATTTCTTTTAATTTTCCAAACGATTTTTTGAATGTAGGTATCCTGAAGATTTTGAAAAATCTCCAGGTTCTGGGTATTTTTTGGAAATTTGACAACATTGCAATAAAATATTTTTTTTTGAAAATGTGGCTTCTGGGAGTTTTTGGAAACTTGGCAGCAACGGAATAAAATTATTAAACAAATTTTGAGCAAATAAAATACGCAAAAAATTTCTAAAATTTGTATATTTCAAAGATTTTGAAATTTTTTTAAAAATTTAATTTTTGTACAATTTAAAAAAAAACTATACCAAAATTGACAATAAAAAATTGTTTAGGAAAAAAGTTTCCTCCAAATTTTTATTTTTGAAAATTTCTTAAAATTTTCCAAAATAAATAGTGCAAAACGACTTCCTGAATTTATACTGAAGAATTTGAAAAATTTACAGGTTCTGGGAATTTTTAGAAATTTGACAACTTTGCAATTAAAACATAATTTTATGAAAATGTGGCAACGCCGCAAAATTCGAGCTTTTGTGAATTTTTGGAAACTTGGCAACACCGGAATAAAATTAGTAAATTTTGAGTAAATATTTTAAACGTGTGGATTAAAAAGCAAATAAAATACGCAGAAATTTTTGAAAATTTTGTAAAACTTGTACATTTTAAAGATTTTTATAAATTTAAAAATCCCTTTAAAATTTTTAATTCAGGACTGCAAAATTTTTAAAAAATTTCAAAATAAATAAGGTATCCTGAAAGTTTTTAAAATTCCCATTCATCTTCTGGGATTTTTTGTAAATTTGACAACACCGAAAAAAATTGACAAAATAAATAGTGCAAAACGACTTTCTCAATGCATCTGGATGATTTTGAAAAATTTAGGGATATTTTTAGACATTTGGCAACATTGCAAAAACATATTTTTTGAAATGTGGCAACGTCGCAAAAAATTCCAGCTTTTGGGATTTTTTGTTAATTTGGAAAAAGTATTAAACAAATTTTGGGTAAAAATTTAAAACGTGAAGCAAATAAGCAAAATTTTTGAACATTTTGTAAAATTTGCAAATTTTAAAGTACTAAAATTTTTAATTTGATCTTCAAGGCATAATTTTATTTGTTAAACAATACCAAAAAAACTCGATATTTTTTTTTTCTTGCTCTCCGCCCAAAATATCGTAGAATATGTCCAAACAAATATTCTGTTAAAAGCGGAGCTCATAATTTCAATGTTAAGAGGTCCCTCATCCAATCTGAAGTTTTGCCGCTTAAATAACACAGAAAACTGACTTTTTTACCTTATTTATTCTTGCAACCTAGGAAGAAATTTTTTTTTCATAAAATCCATGACTAATTCTTACAAAGCATTAAATTTGGACAAAAAAATCTTATTAAGCCGAATTTCTATTTTAATTATTTGATTTTTTACAGAGCTTTAAATTTAAAGTTAATAATACAAAAATGATGAATTTATACGCCTGTAACTTTTAGAATATTGACGATACAAAAAATTCACCTAAAACTTTTTTGTGGTCCATCAGACAAGCTAAAAAATTGCCATTTGACTTTTTCGTCTAACTTCAATAGTTTAGCTGAAAAAGGCAAAAAACGTAAAATTTTAAATTTAAAGCTCTGTAAAAAATCAAATAATGAAAATAGAAATTCGGCTTAATAAGATTTTTTCGTCAAAATTTAATGCTTTGTAAGATTTGGTCATGGATTTTATGAAAAAAAAATTTCTTCCTAGGTTGCAAGAATAAATAAGGTAAAACAGTCAGTTTTCTGTGTTATTTAAGCGGCAAAACTTCAGATTCGATGAGGGACCTCTTAAAATTGAAATTATGAGCTCCGCTTTTAACAGAATATTTGTTCGGACATATTCTACGATATTTTGGGTGGAGAGCAAGAAAAAAGAAATATCGAGTTTTTTTGGCACACCCTAACCTACATAACCCGTAAAATTATAATAATTATTAAATGTAGATTGGATCTGACAGTAGTCGAACATTTTGATTGGTCCAAACTGTTTTTAAAGACTAGGATGTAAAAACTTTACACGATTGGTCTTAATTATTGATTTTTTGATTTAGGATAAAAGTTTTTCTCAAAACTATATTTTAACTACTTTGAACCCGATAAAAACCAATATTTACAATAATTTACATGCAAGGCTAAATTTAATTATGTCGTTTATAAATAAACATCGTTCTTGTTAAAACATTTAAAAATTTATTTGTTTAATGTTATTATTGCAGGCGTAATGTGCCTGAGTAGCTGTGGACGATTTTGGACTGCCGTGCAAATCCTGTGGAGTACCATCTACATCATCTGTGGGGCATTTCAGCTGGTAGCTGGCGTTTTCTTTATTATATCTGTACCAGAATTTCAACCATATTCCACTATATTCACTGGATCATGGGTAAGTTATAAAGTTTTATGGGCAATTATGTTATATGTTATTTAAACTTGCTTCGCAATATAGTGTTTTGTGTTTTTTTAAATATTGTATCAAAATATATGCTACCTTTATTTTATTTTTACCTTATGTAGTCGTAATTAAAACCTATTAAAATCCTAGGTATATTTCTGCATCAATCTTTGATAGTTAAAACATTTTTAACAAACTAATCGACCACCTGTTGGCGCATTTTACGGATAATTTAATTTTACACACTATTTACCGCGCTATTTATTGTATCGTTTTATTAAAATTTTTAATTGAGAGATTTAACTAAGGAAACATCTCAATAATACCGAATGAAAAACAAATCATGCGTTCGATCAAAGTCCAAGATAAAATGAACAGGATGAAAAACCTCTCGAGATGAAATTTCCTTTTAAAAACAAAAAAGTTTTCATTTGATCGGGCAGTGAAAAATTCCCATTTTCTGGGAATTTTTGTAAATTAGGCAACAAAATTAAAAAATTAATAATAAAAATTTAGAAACTTTTCTACAAATTTTTATTTTTAATTTTTTTTTAATTTTCCAAAATTGCAATAAAAACATATTTTTTGAAAATGTGGCTTCTTAGAGTTTTTGGAATAAAGTTATTTCAAATTTTAAAGATTTTGGAAAATTAAAAAATTTCCTTAAAATTTTTAATTTTAGCAAAATTTTTAAAATTTTCCGAATTAAATAAGGTACCTATCCTGAAGGTTTTTGTAAATTTTGCAACACCGGAAAATTATAAAAAAATGGACAACAAAAAATTTTGGAGACAAAATTAAAAAAATTTCCACCAATTTTTAATTTCAAATTTTTATAAATTTTTTTAAAATAAATAGTGCAAAACGACTTTCTGAATGTATTTTGAAGATTTTAAAGAAAATCCAGGTTCTGGGAATTTTTTAAAATTTGACAAAATTGCATTAAAAACGTAATTTTTGGAAATATGGAAACGTCGCAAACGTCTGGGAGTTTTTGGAAATTTGGCAACACCGGAATAAAATTTTAATAATAATAATTTTAATTAAAAATTTGAAACGTGTGGATTAAGAAGCAAATAAAATACGCACAAATTTCATAAAATTTGTAAATTTTGGAAAATTAAAAAAAATTAAATTTTTAATTTCTGCAATATTTTTAAAATTTTCCAAAATAAATAAGTTATCTGAATGTTTTTGTAAATTTGGCAACACGAAAAAATTATAAAAAAAAATTGAAAATACAAAATTTTTTAGAAAAAAATAGACTGTTTTACAAAATTTTTAATTTATTTTCTTAAAATTTTCCAAAATAAATAGTGCAAACGACTTTTAGAATGTATCCTGATTTTGAAAAATCTCCAGAAATTTGACAACATTGCAATAAAAACATATTTTTTTGGAAATTGGCTTCTGGGAGTTTTTGGAAATTTGGCAGCAACGGAATAAAATTATTAAACAAATTTTGAGTAAAATTGAATTAAGAAGCAAATAAAATTGGCATTAATTTTTAAAAATTTGTGAATTTCAAAGGTTTTGGAAAATTTAAAAATTTTCTTAAAATTTTTAAAATTTTCCAAAATAAATAAGGTATCCTGAAAGTTTGGCAACACCTGAAAATTATAAATAATTGCCAATCCAAAATTTTTGGGGCAACATTAGATATTTTTTTTATTTCACAAAATTTTTAAAAAAATTGTAAAATAAATAGTGCAAATCGACTTTCTGAACGTATCCTGAAGATTTAAAAAAAAATGAGGTTCTGGGAATTATTAGAAATTTGACAACATTGCATTCAAAACATAATTTTTGTAAATGTGGCAACGCCGCAAACAAAAATTCTAGATTCTAAGAGTTTTTGGAAATAGCTAATAAAATACGCAGAGGTTTTGTAAAATTTTGGAAAATTTCAACGATTTTGGGAAATTAAAAAAAAAGTTAATTTCTGCAATATTTTTAAAATTTTCCAAAATAAATAAGGTAACCTAAAAGTTTTTCTTAATTTGGCACCACCGAAAAATTATAAAAAAAATTGACAATACAAAATTTTTTAGAAAAAATTATTAACTGTTTTAAAAAAAAATTAAATTAATTTCTTAAAATTTTCCGAAATAAATAGTGCAAACGTCTTTTTGAATGTACATATCTTGTTTGGAAAATTCTTCAGGTTCTGAGAATTTTCAAAAATTTGACAACATTGCAATAAAAACATATTTTTTTGGAAATTTGTTTTCTGGGAGTTTTTGTAAATTTGGCAGAAACGGAATAAAATTATTAAACAAATTTTGAATAAAGATTTGAAACGTGTGAATTAAGAAGCAAATAAAATACTTGCACAGTAATTTTTGAAAATTTGTATTTTTCCAATGTTTTGGAAAAATTTCCTTAAAATTTTTAATTTCTGCAAGGTTTTTAAAATTTTTCAAAATAAAAAAGGTAGACTGAAAGTTTTGTAAATTTGGCAACACCGGAAAATTACTTAAAAAAATTGAGAAAAACTTTTCAAAATTTCTTAAAATTTTAGTGCAAAACGACTTTCTAAATGTATCCTGAAGATTTTGAAAATTTTCCAGGTTGTGGGAATTTTTCGAAATTTGGCAAAATTGCAAAACATTTTTGTAAATGTGGCAGCTTCTGGGAAACTCGAAAAAAGTTTCTATTTGATCGGGCAAATTTTTGCCATAAAAGCCTCAGTGAAAAGATTTAAAATTATAATTAAAAAGTATATTTTATTTAACAGTAACAGTTTGCATACCTTATCTTTTAAAATCATAAAAATCATAAACAAAATTAACGACACCAATTTGTAAACAAACTTTGACCGATTTATATCATCCACTGTAATACTAAAAAACATTCCACGAATGCCATCACTGAAATAAGAATGCTACAAACGATTTAAAATAGCAACATAATGTATGTCGCGAATATCTGGATCAATTTTTCAATTTCGTTTTTACGCTGCACTTAAGTCGTTTACTTTTTGTTGAAAAATTATCTCGCTACCACCAAAAGCTGTAGGCATCGGATTCCAGTGTAAACGACGTTTTTTTGACGGTTTGAATGATTTAATTTTTCGCGTGGAAATATCTCAAAGAAAAGGCGACAAGTGCAGCGGTGTCGTCGATCTTAAACGCACGAGTAAATTTTATTGCGGCAACGTACGTGTTTAAGACTGTGTAAAACCGATATATTTAGAGGTCAAGTTGCAAATTAAACGTTTACTGAGGTTATGGAATTTTGTATTTCAATTGGATATGCTAAACTAGGAATGACTCATTTGCTAATAAATTTATGAAGTCAATGCGATGTTTGCCTCGTAAAAATGTTTATTGCCGATGCTGGAAGTGGGTGAAGGAGTCAAAAATTACTAATAACACTAGTTTACAGCCATTTTGCCCACCATGTCTCTCTATGATTTTCTTGTGTAGTTTGGCTCACTAAACGCGAAAATCACACTTAAATTTCGAAATATGAATTTTCAATTGTTTTTTTTTTAATTTTCTGAGGTGTTTTGACGTTTTAGAGTAGTACACTTCGAGTTCGAGAAATCGAAAAGATAAGTCCAGTTTGAATTATTTTACGTATAGATTATACTTAAAGGAAAGAAATAAGCTGCTGTTGATAAAAATCCATGGATAAATAGCAAAGTTATGAATTTTTCAGTCGAAGAGCAAAATTACAGTTTTTCGAGAATTTTTACGTTTTTTCTTCATTTTATTGAATTATATAAAATTTAATATTGAACATTGATTTTTATTTTAAACATTAAATATTGAAATTAAATTATATATTGAATATTGAACAATAAATATTGAACATATTGAAAGTTTTATTTTGTTTTAATAAGCATAGGTTTAAAAATCTGGCTCCTTCTTTGTTTTTTGTTGCTTTCGTATTCCGTTTCTCGTATAAGGGCCAAATGTAATCACCCATCATGGCTGCATCCCAGAAGCTGTGATACCGCCGCTCCATAGCCTTCATTTGCTGGTGAAAACGTTCTCCGTGCTCATCACTTACGTCTCCCAGATTGTCCGGGATATTTACGCACTCGAACTCTCCACTTCTTTTACTATTTTTACACTTTTTAATAGCTAAATAAAACCATGATAAAATACCTTGTTGAAACATCAAAAAATAAACACGAGAGTCATGTCAAATTTAAATTTTGAATAATGTTTTCGGTGAAAAAAGTACGTAAAAAACTCAAAAAATTACAATCATGCACTTTACTTAGGTTTTCATTTAAGAATAAACATATTACAAAATAAAAGAACAAAAAAAATAAAAATCGTCAAAAAGGTGTTAGCTTGTTAGCCGCAAGAATTAAAAATGATTAAAGAAATTAGTATATATACTAACTATAGTTTTCAATCTCAGAAACAGTAAAAGATGGTGACTTATCTTAAATTAGTCAAACTTTAACTAATTAAGTAGTATAAAAGTAAAAACGACTATTTTATTATTAAACTATGCTGATACTAATTCAAATAGTAGAATTGTGAATATTTCATTTTATAGGTACCGATTGACCTGGAAAAAAATATGTTGTCTGTGAGTCTGTTAACATTAATTACAAAGTCGACATTTTTTCACCAAAATTGGTAAAAAGTGGCTTGGCTATCGTGATTGGTTTCATATCCGTCGAAAACTTTTCGAGTTAGGATTTTTTTCGCTGAAATTAAATTTTGTAATCACCTAGGGAAAAGAGGATTTTTTAAATTTTTTGAAATTTTTTATTTTTAATTCTTTAAAATATTTAAATTCATTAAAATCTTCAAAGTTGTACAACTTTCCAAAATATTAAATTTTTTATAATTTTCAAAATTTTAAAATTTACAAAACTAAAATTTCAAATTTTTCAAAAAGATATTGATTTAAAATTTTAAAATCTATTTAAGTTTATTTCTATAATATTTTGAACAAAATGCCACTTTCGGTTTAACTTATGTTATTTATTATAATCTTAATCTAGGATGCAAATGATTTGTTGA